AGAGAGGTGAGGGGAGTGTATGTAGGGAATGATAATGAGAGAGAGGAAGAAGAAACACAAAAAAAACAAAAAAACACACATATCTATCATATTCATTAAAAATTACTTTACTTCTCCACCCTCCCCTTCCCCCCAAACCAAAAAAAACAAAAAATTTGTTTTTTGTTTTAGTAGGGAGAGGGAGGGTGGGGGGGGGGGGGGGGGGGGGGGGGGGGGGGGGGGGGGGGGGGGGGGGCACATCTCCGGTACCCTCTTCCCCTAGATTCACTCCTGATCCTGAGTATGCCTCCAATATGTTCTATCACGTGACTGATGGTCAAGGTCACGCAAGAGAATGTCCCTGTAGATGAACTGTCTCTGCTGAGGGTGGGGTTTTGTCAGTGTCTTTCAATGGCCTCCTGGGCGCATCATTGTCAGTGAAGTGACGGTTGACATTGAACTCAGTTATGACTCAGTTATGGCCACAGGAAGTGTGAATGATCCCACAGAAGGTATAAATTGCTGTTTGTAACACCAGGATTTATAAGGTAACAGCAACAATGTTTTGCCTTAGAATCTGGCTTTAGACATTAAATAAATAAAGGTGTCCACCTTTATTATTTTATTATGAACTTACCAAGACAGTGGTTTGTTATCCTTGCAGCACACACAGATGGGAGTAAAAACAGATAAAAAAGACAAACAAGGTAGAGGCTGACATGAAGTCGATCAAGGACAGGAATCAGCTCGAGTCCTCTAGACACAAAAATTATAGCCACAGGGATACCAGCTCCATATGTGAACCAGTGAAGCACAAACCATACACTGTAGGCTGATGTAGTACTGAAGACTACACTGCACAAGTCTTCATGAATTCTAATGACATCATCAAGGGTCCCATTTTGTAGGTTTTGAATAAGCCTAAGGGCATCTTTTGCAAAAGTACCTTAGGGTAAAAATAAGAAAGAAAGCCAATAACTTTAAGTTGAACCAACCTGCTTGCTATGTTGTGCAGCAAGAGCAGTTTGAATGCATTTTTTTTTCCACATACAGCAGACGGGTAGTTTAATATATTATATTAGTAACTAAAGGCTGATTTGCTAAGTCCTGGACCAGGGCCTCCAACTTAGGATCCAGATGAGTAGGGGTCCACTTATTTAATGATCTCAGGTCTGAATCTGACATTCCCATATATAGTTATGTAGGGGCCTTGAAAGTGGGTGGGCGGTAGATATGGAAGGAGTTAACATTTGTGAAAGTTAGAGAGTTGGCAATGTCACTTGTTGACCCTGTTCTCGTTTGTCATGCAGGTTTTTTCCAGTGGTTCACCGTCTCTTAGTCCACAGTTTGAGGACGGACTTTTATCGAGACAGTGCTGAGCTAAGCTTATAATATATCATTATCGTTATCGTTATCATTATCATTATTGTTACCACTCACCAAGTACCAAAGAACTAAAGGCAAAGATGTGACAAATGTTGAGTGCTACCCAGTGTAAAAGAAACTGTACAGCAATAGCTGCCACTAATATATGTCTGCAGAATGAACCTTCCACAAGTTTAATTTCAATGCTGGTGTTGTAAAGTAGCCCAATCGCGCTTGCCAGCAGCAATGTCGTAAAAATGAAGAAAGCGAACAACGTTAATGTAATTTTTCTGTCATTGTTCTCAATCGCTGATAGTGAAGGTAGCACACAAGCAGACCTTTTACGTTTGGCTACCATAAAACAACAAGTAAAAACGAGAAACGAGGAGACGGACGCCAGATTTAACAAAGCCTCCGCAATGTGTTCAGTGTACGTGCTGTGTTCCATTGCCATCTTCTCCTTTTCTGTTTCATTCCTGTAGTTCAAACGACACTTGTCTAATACATCAAAGTACAGCGAATTTCATACTTGGTATAAGCAAACAGTGGCTAGTAGTACGCGAGGAATGAAGTTCCACGCTTGATGATTCCATAATCCAACTGAAGAGAAGCAAACTTTGAACACATTCAGGGCCAATTCATTGCTTTTAACAGGCGCCAGAGTTTCTCGACCTTGCCGAAATTTTACGTAAATCGGCTGGGTAGGCACAAGAAGTGGTTTCATTTCTCTATCGTTCGGTTCATTATTAATAATCTCCTCCCTTCCCACGAGGTCTCTCTTTTCCATTGTCGATCAAGGCCCTGGACGGTAACTTTTTTCGCAACTTGTCTCGGTTAACAACTGAGTAATCTTTCTCCCTCTTCCTTTAAAGTCACCAAAACGTACTCTTTGAATTCCGTGACCCTGCGAAATACTTGCAGAACACGTTTAACCGCCATCTTGAAAGCCTTGGTGCATGACAAAATAATGTATAAAAAAATTCAGACGACGTTGAATGAAACAAGATCGCATGACACACGATCAGTCACGTTCGAGGTGCGCGCGCTGGAAAGCCAATCAGCCAATTTTTTCTCGGTGTTTCGGGGTGTTTGAAAAGCACCCGCGATCTCTCTTCTCAACAGAGGCTACCGCTGGTTGTCCCTCGTGAATTTTACCTTATAAACGCGCAGATAAAAGGCCTCAGCCGAGGAGAGAGATTCGCAAATACCTAAAAAAACTGTGAATACGTGACGCAAATAAAAGACTGTTCACGAAAAATAGACTGCACACGTTTGTGACGTCAAATTTACCAAAGATTTTAAAAAGTGTTATGTTTTTAAGGCGAAAAATATCACTGCACTTTGCAAACACATTTTCCCAACCAATGCGCAACCTTCCACGTGATAGCTTCGCGCGCATTGGTTGAACTTCAAATGAACTTTGGCCGCCATCCCAGACAACACATGAAGACAGCCAAAATGGAGTTCACTTGACCTGGTGTTTTATAAATGTTCTCCGTAGTGTTTTCTTGAGAAAATTATATCGAAGTACAGTATCTTATGAACCTCGACTTATAACATGGCAACAGGACCTTATATAATCCACAAGTCATCCCAATTCTGTGCGGCAGTTCGTTCAAATGTAGACTTTGACAACTCAGTTCGCAAGAGGATAAGAGAGGTCACGTTCTGCTTTAATGGAGTGGCCATGGACACTTTACCACCTCGGTTAAATTTAAAGAGTATCTCAACTGTTGTAAACGCTGCTTGTCAACAGTTCAGAGAAAAGGGAGTAAAATATTTGATCAACAAACAAGATGTCAATCGGGCGAGGAAAGAATTACGGGGACAGTTTTATTCTCAGGCGAGTGAAGGCGATTTTAAGACTTGCGAAAATTCGATAGCAGAGAGTTCTACTTTTGATGTTCGTCTTTTAGACGCTGCTGGTTTTCGTTGGGATAAGGAAAGAGTTACGGATTACGAATTATACAGGTAAGAAGTGTGAATTAAATGTTCTAGACTTCCTTTTTATCTGTAAATTTTCCTTAAGACTTCCTGCAAGATCTATCGTTGTGATCAGTGATGAGCTCTGCACGCTTTATTTTACTGAGACTATACATTCTGTTCTTAACTTATCCTAGTGCTTTTAAAATCCTTTAACGAAAAGAACGATGGAGAAGCTATCAGAGAACATACAATTTTAAAGTTAATACTGTTCCCCTTGTTTTATTGTACAGTAGTGTGCCTGCATGCAGTTGACTGGCTAGACCTTACATGCATGTGCACTACACATGCAATTCTCCTGACTTACACTTTAGAAACAGAAGTTTACATTGCCTGATATAAACACGAGAGGGGTTGGAGAATTCAAGACAGTATACAGTTATGCAGGCCCGTCAAAGTCGAGAGTTTGCATATGAGATCCAAAGAAAATAAATGTCAAATTCACAAAATGACATCTTACACATGAAATTTACTGGGCCCAGTTGTTTGAAGGCCGTTTAGCGCTAACCCAGGATTAAATTTTAACCCGGGTTTTTTTCTTTTGTTCAAAAGCATTTTCCCGGATAATTTTCTCTCTTCTTTTTCGTGCATCAAATCATAAAATTATAGGCAAAAAGAATAAAACTGAATTTGCTTTTCAAGCTTTCATATCTTAAATCAAATTTCACCCCAAATTCGCTTTGAACAACCCGGCCATTTTACCTACATTATCACAATTCTTGTGCATTTAATTTGACATTTATTTTCTCGTGCTCGCATGTTATTACAGATGACTTGACTAAACTTCAGAATACCTCTTCAACAACTCCTGATACTGCAGTTGGCAGTCTGCAGTGCAGACTGCAGTACATGTAATATACTTTGTTCTTTAATCCACGTGAACAGAAATAAGCAAGCTATACATGTAATATAGCTCGTTTTTAAACCACAAATCCCAACTAAGCCAGTTGAAAATATAGCAGCCATTCTACTTAACTTAATATTCGGCGACTTTGGGACTGCGGACCGTGGTAGCAGTACATTTACACTCTTAGGGTAGTCAGTTTCAATTACTGACTGTGGGACTATATTTACACACACAATTCCTTTTCAATGACTGCAGACTGCGGATCGTGGTAGCAGTAAATTTAACAGGGGAATTTGTGGCCGGGCATTCTAAAGTTGACTTAATAACAATAGCAAAAAAAGAATGCGATATTGTTTAAATTATTCCGGTAAAAGGTTTTTGTCCACTGAAAATTTAACCAATTTCCTGATAGTTTCCATCAACATTTTTTAATCAGCTTTAAATTCAAAAGTCAATTTCTTAATTTTTTCATAAATACAGTAAGTTGTAATGGGCCTTTAGTCATTTTATGGTAAAAGGTACATTTATAAGTGATAATAATGGAAACTTTATTTGTGTTTTTGAATGTACAATATTGTAAATCTCACTACGTATAGGTAATTTACAAATGCTGCTTGGATTATTGTACTTAGATTATTCAAAGAAAAAAACAAGAAAGAAAGAAAAAAGAAAAGAAAAGAAATCAAAATCGCATTAAGTCTGGGCTATCCCAATTCCTATTTCTACTACAAAAGATGTAATAGGTTGCTCTAATGGCTATAGTTATCATTTTCTTCATTATATATAAAGTTGCTGCTTTTTGACAATGCTAATGTCATTCATCATGTCTAAGAACATGGAGCATTCATTGAAGAAAATGCCAAGGGAGCTCATGGAGAGATTTGCAAATTTCACACATCTGTAATTTCTCCTCATTTCCTGGATCAAGTTCAGATATTTTTCTTTTTTTGTGCACTGCATTGCTATTGGTTAGACTCAAAACCAAATAATAATAATAATAATACACCGTATTCACAAATGGCGGACACGCGGGAAAAAACTGGTGCCTAGTCATGAAAGCAAGGCGTTGGAGGGTAAACAAAAATTGCAAATGAAGACTTTCAGTGAACTTGGAGAGTGTTTAGCACGGATTCCACCTAAAATAACTTTTTATGGACTTCTTTTTAAATACAATGACGTGGGATGTCTTCTGCTTTTAATGTTTAGTACTGATTTGCTGTTTGCAATCAAAAGGGACGCGTATATCTTCAAGGAAACAAGATGATTTTGTAGGTTGCCGAAGCCTCAGAAGCTCAACAAGTGGGTGATGGCTGGAGAAAAGCGGCAAACATGTTGGCCCAAACTTCACACTGAAATCGAACACGAAAGCCAGCTGACTGCGATTCTGTAAAACAGAAGTAAAAACAGATATTGGTGCCAAGAAAAAAAGAAATAAGCGACGGATATATGGCCTACTTGTCAACGGAAGAGACCTCCGCCATTACTCAAAACAGGTCAAGTCGAGAGCGGGTGAAAGATTCATTCACGAGACTCATTCATTCATGTCAGTGTCATTTTACACATATCTATGTATGTCTGTATTTACAACTTCCTTTGGATGATATTAATTCCGTCGCTTTGGAGTGAATTGTTAGAGGTACGTTGGCAGAGCTTAGCAAATTCAGTGCAAATTTAAAATCTTTTGATTTCTTTGTCATTGCGAAATAAAATAATTTTATCAAAACTAGAAGCTGTAGTGTGTGAATCTTATGGCTTGCTATTTGCCTGGTCTCCTTTACGGCATTATCTCGGAGAGCTCTTGGTAAAAAAGTGGTATAAAGCTCACATTTTACTAGGTTAAACGTTTAAGGCAATGTTTGTGTCAGAACTGAACACGGCAAGCTTCTGTTTCAAATCATTAAATGCGAGTTTGAATCCGTTTAAGACAACCATCATTTTATTTATTTATGTATTCTTCACTTTTAAAATATTATGGAACATAAAGTTAAAACTCTTAACAGCCAAAGATAAGAAATAGGAAAATCACTCGCTGAAATGAAATGTGGCCGGCTTACTGAGTCTGCCGCGTAGTAACAAGTTGAAATTTTGAGCGTACTCCACTCGATCGCTCCTGCATTTATACCAAAAAGATAGTTCTAATAATTGATGTCCTTCATTGATAAAGACCAGAGAATAACGTCCTGGCAAATAAACACCAAACATAACTTCATCGAAACCTCAGTCACCGCTTCTTTCCTGTCTTCCTTTTTTCCATCTCCATTTGAACTGTTTTGTTCAATGGCACACGTCTCTTGGGTTAACAAGTAGGCCATATATCCATCGCTTATTTCTTTTTTTCTTGCCACCAAGATTTGCATTGTTTATATTTCTGTTTTACCGAATTGCAGTGAGCTGGCTTTCGAACTCGGTTTCAATGTGAAGTTTGGGCCAACATGTTTGCCGCTTTTCTCCAGCCATCGCCCACTTGTCAAGCTTCTGATGCTTCGGCAACCCACAAAATCATCCTGTTTCCTTGAAGATATAAGCGTCCGTTTCGATTGCAAACAGCAAATCAATACTAAACATTAAAAGCGGAAGACATCCCACGTAATTGTATTTAAAAAGAAGTCCGTACAAAGCTATTTTAGGTGGAATCCGTGCTAAACACTCTGCAAGTTCACTGAAAGTCTTCATTTGCAATTTTTGTTTACCCTCCAACGCCTCGCTTTCATGGCTAGGCACCAGTCTTTTCCTGCGTGTCCGCCATTTGTGAATACGGTGTATAATGATAATAATAATAATAATAATAACTTTCATGATTACAGTGATGATAAAGGATGTCTTTAACTTAGTCAGGCCAATTGTATTCAGTTTCTAATCAGCATCAATTAATCTTCTCAGGTGCAAAAAGAATATTATATTGGACAAGAAAAGAAAGAGAAGACACAAAGAGAAAGGAACTGATAACAAAGAATGGGAACAATTTATTAATCAAAAACTTTTGGAAGTATGGAGAAGGCCTGTTGATTCTTCAGGGCTTTATGAGTACAAAGGTATCATTAAAAAATCAAGATGCATGTAATAATACTTTCCTTAACTAGAGGTAATCATTGATTACGGATCCATGTTCGTCACTTGTGGAAATGAAATCAAGTCGAAAGGAGTCCATTTTCCTGGCCGAGATGCCCCTGAAAAAATCAGTAGGGGTGGCCAATGATACCCCCATCGCCGTGATACCTTGAAAATTTGTGGGTTTGTGCCATAGGAACACCGATTACTGTGACACTTCTTTTATTGTGGATTACAGTTTGGCTTCCTGTGTTAGTGTAATTGTCAAGTCAGGGATTTTGCGGTAGTGATTCTGGCACTGTTTGTTATCATGGTCTTAAAATAATGGAACTGAAAAATAGTTTCCAAGTGACTTTTTCAGCCTTAGGGATCAATTTACAGAAATCCACAATTTTTTCCACTCAGATTCTTAACTACATGTTAGAGCAATTTATTTAGGTATAACAAGTTGTTCAGCATCTACACTGTATCAGTTTTCTAATGTCCGCCATCTTGAATCATTCCCAAAGTGCATTGTATGTTACCGATTTATGGCTCTCAGTGCCAAGAAAAAATATATGACTTCAATAAATGGAAAACATTTAGGATGTGGGTTTTCATGAATTTTCATGGAACCAAAAAATAAACTTACTTCTTCCCGGAGAAGGGGCGTCTTTGATTCACTTTTGCTAATCGTGTATTTAGGCCACGTGATTTTTCCCGAAATGTTTGGAAAATTATTTGATTGTCGGTTACTCGTAGATTTTGGTTGGCTTTAGGGCCTGTCGTCAAAACATACCAGGCAACCAGAAAATCACAAACAGAAACTTAAAACCACCAGAAATAAGAACTCAAAAGCATACATGACCTCTTGACCTCTAAATGCAAGAACCAAAGGCAAAAATAAAATTTGTTCTGTCAAAGTTTATGGTACTCCATTGACTACGATGCATAATCTACGTGCTAGAAAGAAAAGAAAACCTCTGTTGCTCAAGCAAATGCTAAGGTCTCATTTCACACTATCACTAGCTTACGATGTACAGCTGTATGAGTCACATCTGACCAGTCAACACAGTCTTTATTTTAAACTAATCAGGACTTTCTGTATCCAGTGGGAAGGCTTACAAAAGATCAGGATCTTTGTCTTTAATAAGGGCTTGGGCTTGGTATAGAGTAAACCGATTATAAAAATGTCTCACTCTGTCAATTATTACTTGATGCAAATTAGTCGCATGTGACATTTTGAGAACTGAAGTGACGTGAAACATGAGCCACAGAAATTGTGGCCAATGGAATCTATTTTCTTCAATTTTTGCAAAATTATTCCCATGCACGATTAGTGGCTAAAGATCCCCATTCTCCAATTTTTCCTGAGTGGGGCTGGGGGCAGGGGAGGTAGTATTCTGTACACAGGCCATACAGATGGTTGGTTTCCCATGATCTCTGGGCACAGAACTGAAAAATTATTCTCCATGGGAGTTGAAATCCTTTGGGGCTTGAATTGCTATTGGTCAGCTCCATTTTTGCCGTAAAGCAGTGTTCACCTCGTATTCATTTGATACCAGGGTTAAAAGCATAGCAAAATAGGCTGCTAACCCTTTAAAGTTGACAACAGGTGTACATGTAACCTGAAAACAGATTTTATCTAGAACAATTTATGGGGATGGCCCTTATCCATGAGAGCACCCTTTACACAAGCCTAGATGAGTCATTAGATTGAAAACTTCAACAATTTTTTTATTATTTCTAGTGTTTGGCACTTTCTATGACATCAATGCAAGGTCCTTTTATAACATCCAGGTATGTACAGGTTATACTTTTGTACCAGTACATAATTATATTTTAAACAGTCATCTCCTATTTAGTGGTCACCTTTTAAATTTCTGTGGGTGACTGCTTTTTCACTCTGTATTGTTATCATCATTTGCAGTCAAGCAGACTGTATTAATTAGGTTTAACAGTAATACTAGTCAAGTGCTTACATGTACATGAACTCTAGATAGCTTCAGACCTTCATTATTATTTTTTGCCATTATGGGGATGTATGTCTTGATAAAAGGACAGATTTAGAGGTGACATGTAAATCATTATGAATCTAAAAATATTATAATGATGACATATTGATTTTCGTCATAGATTGATAATGAATACCGGACAGTCTGGGACCAATTTGTGTTAAAACTCGATGTTGTTGACTTGGATCCTATGAGTGGTAGTGAAGTGCTTCATTGGGTCACAAAATTTCCTGTAAGTATATATTTACATGTTATACAGTGAAACACTTACATAGGTGACATTCTGTATTCATGGTGTCTACCAGGATGCATTGATGGTGAATCACAGCTTTAATTCTATAATAACTACCTCTTTTGCTTAATTAATTATTAGGGCATATGCAGTGCATAAAGGCAATTTTTGCTATGGCAATTTCAAGTGTATCACAGGGTTGCAACACTTCTGGGTCATTCTGTCTAATTGTTATGACATTGTTTTAAAATTCTGCCCTTAAAATCGACTTAGGTTTGCTTATGCCAAGGCAGCAAAAAATCAGCTGGTTGAACCTTTGTTTAGAGAGACAATCACTCACAAGGTGTAGTATACAGCTGAGTATTATTCCACTGTTAGAGCGGTTTTCACTTGACTGTCGTAAAACCAAAACCAAAGTAAATACGCTAGCCAACCAAAGGGCGTAGTGAAACCAAAACCAAAACCAAAACCAATTACTTTCGACAGTCAAGTGAAAACCGCTCTATTATGGAGGATAGTAATCAGTATTAAATTTCTGAGTGATGATGCTGTGGGTGTCCAGTTTACAAGTACAACTTTGTTGTATACAGATTTTTAATTATTTTAAAATAACAGACAAATAAAAAACAGCGATAGTAAATAACATGTATAAGTACTATTACGTGTACTTATATTTTTTGCTAATTGTTTGTTTCTTTCATTTTATATCCCCTTTGTTCCTAGTACCCTCTGAGAAATAGAGACTATGTGTTTGTAAGAAGAGGACAGGTACAAGGTCACTTCTTTGTGACTGAATTTTTTTCTATTTTGTTTATTAATTTTTTGTTTTCCCCACAATGATATCATTCTTGCAGTTATGTATTTCTGACAGGGAAAACCAGAGTCCCACAAAATTGCTCTCTGATATGAAGCCAGGCTACTGGGTCAACCCCTTGGGCTGGCATGTTGTCATTGTAACAGTCAAGCAACTTGGGGCTTTTTTTACTCATACAATTTCAAATACATTGAGGAATTTTAACACAGCTGTATGCTTGTGTTGCTTCTATTTACCAGTTGCAGACGCTCCCTTTGTATGAATAAGGGCATTGGATAAGGTATCAATTTGGGGGCACCTTCTGTTCACTGTAGGACAATAAAGGGTCTAAATTGAAAGAATTATATTTACAGTGTAACTTGTTTTTATTCTTATACCAGGTTGATCAACAGTCCATGACTATGGTGCTTATTTCAAGGTTGGTTATTAAAATTAATATAATTATTATACCAGTAAAAATAATAATCAATCATAAAATTATTTATAATAGTTTTTGATGTACAGTTTGCATACGAGTTCGCCTCATTTATGTTCCCTGTCGAAAAGTATTACTGATAAGAACATACATGTATGGTCATATCCTGTCAGCAAAAGGCATGATTATTGGTTTTAGTGGAGCTATGTGTACATAGTTTAAGAATTAATTATTGAGCTGCAAGTAATGCTGAGCGACTGCATTTACAAATGTACCTGCAAGTTAGTAAATTATCAAACATGTCAATTTAATGATCCCAGGCTAGTTTTCTTATTTTTTGTGTAATTGAATTAGAATTAAATTGGAACTTAAATATATCAAGGTTAATGATGTCCTTGTTCTTGTATCGGTTCCCCTTCACTTTATTGTTCCTGTTCCATCTCTGTTTCTGGTTCCAGTTCCGGTTCTCGCTCGCTTTCCCATTCCTATTCCAGTTTCTGGTTTCCGGCTTTTCGAGGCGCCCATTGTACTCACCTCAACTCAATACTAACTTTGTGTATAACATGCCCTTTACATTATGGCATGCAGTGTAAGTCTTAAAATGTGTCTGCTGTTTATCCAGGATTTTCAAAGGGTATCGGTGAAATACACAACATTACTGTACAGTATAGAGCAATAATTTATATTACATCAGGGCCATGTGGGCCTCTTGCCTTGTATTTCTTTCCTTCATCAAGTCAATTTTCTTGGTGCTTTTTTTCTTCTCAGGGCTACTACTCACCCACTTTGTCCAGAAAATAGTGATCATGTGCGAGTACAAAGTTATAATTCCAGAATGGTTATTTTACCACACAGAACATTTGATGAGGTGAGGGTTTATTCCAACCATATTTCTCTACCTTTTCTTACTGAAAAAGAAAACTTTTATAGGCTATAATCACAGTAAATTTTCACACCATAAAATTGAAAAGGAAATGATATTTAATTGGACAAAAACAGTACAATTACAATTCCACTATGGGCCAGTTTAGACAAGTACTTAAACCATTATTTCTTTGAGCAAGTTGCTTTTTAAGGTTACTGTTAGATTTGATATTAACCCATTCATTTCAAACACTAATTTCTCAAAGTAATAATAAAGAATTTCCCACAATAAAAATTACATAAGGCTGTCAAGAGAGGCTATGAAGGTGTGCTTCCTGTTTTATATTGCAGGCTAAAAAGAACAAAAATTTTATTATATTTTTGGCTTTCTTCTGATTTCTAGCATTGTCTGTCAATTTTTCCATGAGGTGATTTACAGTAACGTCCCGTAACTTTAGGTGAAAATGTTTGTTTGAACTCGTAACAATGTTTTGTATGAAGCCTTACCAATGAAGTTATTTGCATAACAGGCCATTAAACTTTGGCTTTACCTGACATCAACCTTGAAAGGATCATTTTGATATCCAGTGTGTCTCTAAAAAGGTTTTTCTTTTTTTTGCCATAGGCATGTTAAAGAAAGATCAAAGACCATTGTACTATTTATTATTTGGGGATTAATTAAAATGTAAACCAATTTTGCTATAGATTGCCAAAGCTTGCTTGAAATCGTATGTCAGGTTGTGANATTTACAGTAACGTCCCGTAACTTTAGGTGAAAATGTTTGTTTGAACTCGTAACAATGTTTTGTATGAAGCCTTACCAATGAAGTTATTTGCATAACAGGCCATTAAACTTTGGCTTTACCTGTCATCAACCTTGAAAGGATCATTTTGATATCCAGTGTGTCTCTAAAAACGTTTTTCTTTTTTTTTGCCATAGGCATGTTAAAGAAAGATCAAAGACCATTGTACTATTTATTATTTGGGGATTAATTAAAATGTAAACCAATTTTGCTATAGATTGCCAAAGCTTGCTTGAAATCGTATGTCAGGTTGTGAAAATTGCAACATTTCTGTCAACAACGGAAAGTATCGTGTCAGATTTTAGCCCAGTATCATCATTATTTCCAGGATAGCACTCTTAGATACCAACTTTGGCCTTCATTTTCTCGGCTTCTATTGAACAAAAATTTAGGAGTTTGTGTTCAGGTGAAGAGTGCTTTTCAAATAACCGATTTTAGAAGCTTGGTCAATTTTTGACCTTACAGCGGTTCTAATACCTTAACTGGAAGATTTACATTGTACTGATTTGTTTGTTAACTTAGGATGGATTTGACTTTGTGCTATCATACTTTGATGATCCTAAGACTAACTTTCCATCGTACTGCATGAACGTTTTAACAAGCTCAAGTAAGTGTGATGCACTCATCATTCAGTGTTCTTTATTCTAGTGAGATTCCACCAGCGGCATTCTAATGGGATATTTTTATAAGCAATGATAATGAAGGATTCTTATTTACTGTAATAAAGAGACTTTTAGCTTGTATGTTTTGTTGTCCTAATTCAGACCACGTGGTGTTCTCTTTGTCCTAATTATGCATACATTAATATTATTCATATTGATATTATGGTGGAAGCTCTCGTGAGCAGACACCCGAGTGGTGTCCGTAACTGGAACTGGCTCCTTGTGAGAATGAAAAATACAGAGCAGGGTTCGAAATTGCGCCTTCCTGGTCACCAGTGCGAGTAAAAATTTAGTCCTGGCGACCAGAATTTCATAGCTGGTCACCAGCTAGCGACTTGTAAAGCTGGTTGTTATTGTGGACTTAAACATTCGGAGAAACTGATTAAGAATTGAAACCTCAAAAAGCTATTTGCCAACAGGTGTCTTCCTTTTTGTCCTGCTGATATTTTTTAATTAAAAGGGAAACAAATCTTCCTGTAATAATACCTTCACAACAGCTACGATCAATGCGAGTTGAACGTTTCCAAGCCGCCATTACGAGTAATGTGGCACAAAAAAAATGTGGCCTCGTACGAGCAACATGGCGGCTATGTTTCGTTGTTGTTTTGTGGATTGTTTTGTGGTAGTTATCGGAAGAAAATAGTTTTGATATGATCCGGTACAGTCATGGGCAGACAGCTTTCTGTTCCTACGTTCTAGATCAGATGGCTTTACATGTATATCTCCAAAAAGTAATTTGTGGAAAAAATGAGACTTCACTCGTTCACGTACGGTTTCTTTCTGGTATCGGGAGCAGAAGTATTGCAATTTTTAAGCACAAAAACGTCCATACCATGCATTTTTTATTCGTGTTTAAACTTTTACTTGAAAAAAAGGGAGGGGGAATTTTTGGCGACCACAATTTGCCCTCTGGCGACCAAAAATTTATANAAAAAAATGTGGCCTCGTACGAGCAACATGGCGGCTATGTTTCGTTGTTGTTTTGTGGATTGTTTTGTGGTAGTTATCGGAAGAAAATAGTTTTGATATGATCCGGTACAGTCATGGGCAGACAGCTTTCTGTTCCTACGTTCTAGATCAGATGGCTTTACATGTATATCTCCAAAAAGTAATTTGTGGAAAAAATGAGACTTCACTCGTTCACGTACGGTTTCTTTCTGGTATCGGGAGCAGAAGTATTGCAATTTTTAAGCACAAAAACGTCCATACCATGCATTTTTTATTCGTGTTTAAACTTTTACTTGAAAAAAAGGGAGGGGGAATTTTTGGCGACCACAATTTGCCCTCTGGCGACCAAAAATTTATACTTGATCGCCAGTTGGCGCTCGTATTAAAAAGTTAATTTCCGACCCTGCAGAGTTTGTATAGGGGTTGATTAAAACAGGATTTTATTAGACTGCAAAACAGTCGGTTTTTTGCTCAAAATCAGTAAAGAAATCGGTAAAGCGTGGTGTAAGAGTCTTGCGTGCACGCAGCGCCCGAGCCTCACATGCCCTATGGGCATGTGAGACGAGAGAAAAAACCGTCTCTCCCCAGTCTCGCTCTATGTTTTCAGCCTCATTCCAGACCGTTTGTTTGACTGCTCATGCGCACTTGAATACACAAAAATACGGACTGTTTTGCAGTCTAGGGTTTTATAAAGGTGGCCATAAGTAGAGCTGTCCGTTTACAAGAATGTCCATTAGGAGAGCTTCCACTCTATATGCATTGGACAAAATGGTCTGAAATGAGAAAACAAAACATACAAACTAAAATTAAAAAGGACTATAATTATTTATTAATACAGTGTATCAGTCACAAGACACAGCTGGGTTTCATTTCATAACTGTCATCAACAACAGAGCTGAAAATAATATTATGATCATCTCAAAGTGGAATTGTCAGTTTAAATGACCTGCCCTCAGGAGTCTTGTCTTGTGTTTTTCACTGCTGTGACAAATAACTGATGAGAAGTTCCTCATCAAATCACTTCACAAATGGTGCGTTTTTACTCAGATTTCCGAACCTGTCATCATGATGGTACCTGATTTCCTTTGTTTCTCCTTTGGAATAATATTTAATAATAATTTAATATTTATATAATATTTTGAAAAAGTTGTAGTTAAAGTACATGTTTTTCATCTTTGAAAAAGGCGACCGTTTTATACTTTTCACTTTCTAATTATGTTTCAGATCTTCCTACTTTCATTAATACACTACACTCTGCAGCAGCTGGGCTAAGCCAACAGGACCAAAAATGCCTGGCAGAAAGACAGGAGATGGTCAATCACTGATTGTGCACTCTGAGTCAATGAAAGTGCTTTTCTGAAAATAATTAAAGTAATTGTACAAAGAACTTCTTAGTTGTGGCAGAACTTTGTGATACAGTTGTAACGACAGACGATCACTGGAAATCCCATTGGAAGTAAAGTTTGCATGATTATAATCATTATGCCCTCTCAAGTTGATACAGTGAATGAACATCTTGTGCAATGCTTTGTGAGCTGACTGCTGACTTTGTAGTTAGAGAAAGAGGGGCACATGTAATGTGAGAAAAAAATTGCCTGAAATGACTCTATGTGTGCCAGAAAGCTGACACATTAAAATGATTATCTTTGGATGTCATGAAACAACTGTAACCAGGTTCAGTTGATTACAAAGTACATTATTTTTGTAAGGTAATCTGAACAACAACAAAAATTGTAATGTTTTCAAACTGTTGAACACTGATGAGTAAACTATTAATAAATTGAAGTACAAAATGTATAGGGGATGTGTATTAGACAGGGGGCATTTATTAGAGAGGGGCGTCTAATACACCTTTAAAAGCGTTGAGGGGGCATTATTTTAATATAATTCAAAAGAGGAGTATATTTGGAAGTAGGCATCTGTTAGGTCATTTCAGAAACCCATGAGGGGTTTCTGGTCATTTACAGTAATTTGTGACAGCCTTCAGGTCCAGGTTACCCTGCAAGCAGAGTCTCCTTTGATCTTCCTAGAAAATATTGGTATTTTCTAGAAAGATCAAAAGGGATTCTGCTGGCAGGGTAGGTCCGGGTTGATACAGTTGGTTAATGACTACTGATTTCTCTCACAGTTGAGTATTTACATGTACATCAGGTTTTGTTAATAAAAACCACCCCAAAATAAAATGAAGTTTATAGTGTGTATGTATAGTAAAAGGATATCCTTTTGAATTGATTAATTTCAAGGCATACAAAGGGTTAAGGGTTCCTGGACATTGAATTAAACAGATGATTGCCAGAGGCGGCTGTAGCTAAGAGAAGGAAGAAAGGGTTCCTTTTAATTTCTCAAACAGTCACTGGAGTAAAGTAAATTTCTCAGTTTATTTTACCATAGACTGAAATGGTTTGTCCACAGAGTTATTTTTCCCAATGAAAAACAATGGGAACCAAGTTTGTTACCTACATGTATAATGCTTTGTGGCACCTGCATGTAGCATATTTGAAAGAATATTAAATACAGGTGATAAACCTGCATTTGTGAGGAGATTACATCGTCGGTATGCCGGCCATCAAATGGGAGAAAAGAGAAACAGGGCTGCCACTAAGATTTCAAGCTGCCGGGTATAAATACATAATGTACAGCAAGTAGGTGGGGAATCAAACAGCTCGGAGTTTCTTTTGGTTCTTTTTTCCATGTTCTTTGAAAGTAGCTGGGGAAAATCCCCAAACCCGGGCTCTAAATGACATCTCTGGAGACATAAGACATTGTTTGAGCTGTGACACTCCAAGTTTCCCTGACATCTTAGCTATGGACTAACTAGTTACTACACTTTAACACCTTGGTAAGAAAACGTGAGTTTTCTCTTAGAAATCATATGCAGTAACAGTGATCCTGAATTAAGCAGGTATTAGTTTTAGGGCATAGAGTTAAAATTATTTATGACTGCTACAATCCTTCAGATGGCTCAACTTTTTCCATACGAAGCTAATCTGTGAAAACAGATATCTGCCATGGTGGAAGCTGGACGTGGTCATGTTGACGTTCATCAGTTCTTAAACACTGATTAAAAGTTCCTTGAAAGGATTGTCTTCTATGCACCAAGACCTTTTATACTTCTGACTGACAACAACTTATCCAAGCAAGTCCCTCTCTTTTTCTTTGCAGTGTTTAAAACATTTTGATTTCTTTTACTTTTCATCTTTTTCGACTGACGATGCTATAATATTCTAATCTTGCAAGATTCTTATCATCCAAACTTGACACTCAAGATACATTCCACTACTGTTAACCATGACCAGAGCAATCAGCTGCTTTCCACTCGACCGGATCCTATGTTGTCAATACCAACCCATAAGGAAATGGATTTAACAGAGCTTGATGATCCAGCAAGGACATTATCTTCAAGAAATGATAGAGTAGTGATCGGATGTTGAGAGAAAAAAGTATGCCATGGCTGTGCGACTAACCCTGATTCACAACTCTTGAGAATGTCTGTCAGTTTGTACAGATTGATTGTCTGGCCTTGATCGACCAAGGCAAGCCATCCTAAAGAAGAGAAACAATTTTATAAAAAAACCACTGATCTTGATAATGTAAATGTTACACCGGTAAAAACATTGTTTTTGTCACTTCTGACATGTTAGTATCACAACTTTGCCATCGGCACTTAAATTCAAAATTTGAGCCCAAATTATGTGTATTAATTATTACATATTTGTATTAATAATTACCTCAACCCCAAGTGGGGGGGGGGGGGTTAAAGAAAGTGGCTGTTTTGGCATCAATGGTTTGGTTTGAATATGTCGTTCTCCTTTGTCCAAACACGAAGAAAGACAGCAAAAGTAGCTGTTGTTTGTTTTTGGTTTATTTTTATTTTTATCTTATTTTTTTATTTTTTTTTCGGGGGGGGGGGGGG